AACACGCTCGTCTTAAAGGTGTGCCCTGTATCATTTCAGGTCCCATTTATCATCATGTCACTAGCTGAGAACAGGTGACCTTTACAAAGCACTACAAGCATTCAGGATGCAATTAAATTCAGACTGTTATGCTGAAGGATGCAAGGTGAGCTTTGCTGGTTGTCACATATACAATGATAAAAAAAAAAAAAAACAAGAACGTGATAAGCTCAATTATTTAATTATTCATGCAGAGAAACCATGTATATCTAAATAAATGACGAGCACTTTGGATGATAAAGTATGAAACAGAAATTGCATACTTAAAAATGCAATTATCTTCTTTCAACTGTAGAGTTTAGTTTGATGTTACCTTTATTTAAATGATCACACTCTCATGTATTCCAGCTAAATAAATTGGGGGGACTAATGCACAGGTTACCCTTAATGACAGTGAAAAGTGAATGTGTCAGAGAGAGGAAATGAGCAAAGTCAACCTCTGTCCCCTCAATCACCAGCCAACATCTTCTGGGAACAAACGGCACGTCTGAAAGTAAAAGCACCACAGAGAAACAGACAAATAAATCAAATGGCCGATTCCTGGAAACATTTAAAGTCTCCTCTATTTATTACATACTACTACCAGATACACAAACCAAGCTAGATCTGGTATTTTAATGCGCCAGATACATTTTACATCAAAATCTTGCAACCAAGGCTGATTTAATTTTTTGTACCAATTTGTCTCAAGACAACAGCATTTAGCCAATAAAATGTGGTTACAGACTGAAATATTCATGAGGAAATATTTATAATCGGATTGAATCTGGGACTGAAAAACAATTCCAGACTGAACTATTTACTATAGATTTGTAATAAGGACAAATATGATATTCAACTGAAATACCAGCAAGGAATTAAAATCAGAAAACACAATACGTGTTTGTGCACAAATCCATCTTTTCACCAAGAAAAGCTGTCAGTGCATTTATAGACAAACATCATGTCACTTCCTTTCTGACAATGCTACATGTGTGGAAAAATTATTACGTCGAGTTTTTAGGCCAGTGACACCCTCAGCCATAGAAAGTTAAGACTAAGACCTATACTAAAAAATTACATTGTCTTTTGTCATAAATATAATCTAATACTAAAACTTCCTATGCAAATCACTTTAGTTGTACCATACACAAGGTGAAGAACCTCCCGAAACCTAGCCTAATCTTTGTGTCACACATTGATTTTCACAAGTACAACAAAACAAGGCAGAAACAGAAAACTCACACAATGACCTGGAAAGGTAGGGGCTGTACAGCATGTCAAGGACCAGAGATACAGTCATCACGACGTCGGTGATGACACGGTGAGAAACTATTCTGGGTAAAAGTCAACAGTGCACTGCTAAAGGTGACGGTGACAACTGGGCAGGACAAAAGTGGCTTCGTGTCTTTGTCACTCTGAGGGATCCGGTGCTGAATCAACTAAAACGGATCAGCTCATTGAATGTGTACATTTCATTTCACCATCAGTGGCAAAGGCATCGTTATTTATATATATTTTATTTTATTTTATTTTTTTTTTTGGGGGGGGGGAGTTGTGGTGTCAACAGTTCGTTTCTGAGTATTCTCCTTACAAACTGATTTTATTAAGAAAAAGTCATGTACTGTTTCAGTCAAACAAATTTAATGTCAGAAACTAACTTGAGTTAATAAACAACACAGCTTTCAGATGACAATTTCATTATCTTGGCCACAAAATAAGATATCCTTTGCAGAATCATTTTAGTTCTAACGTGTCAATTTCCATCTTTCCATCCAAATGAACTTGTTTTAGTGGCAAATGTGCATATATATATATATTTTTTTTTAATGAAAAGTGAAAGACTGTGTAAGAAGGCCGGCTGAAGCTGGTGAGAGTCATTATCCTCGTTGAAATGAGTCCTGTGCCGCTATGGGCTGAAGGCCACATGCGGAGGAAGAAGCCGTTGCTCCAAAAGCAACATAAAAAGCCAGATTACAGTCAGCAAATGCACCCATGGAGTCACACAGTCTGATGAAATTAAATCTGAAGTGCTTGCCCAGAATGACAGTTGTTACATTTGGATGAAAGTAGATGGGATATTAGATGGTATTATGAGGAAATAACTTGATTCAGAAATATTCGAGTGACATCTGAAGACATTGCAGCTTGAGCACAAATGGGTCATCCAAATGGACGATGACCCTAGTGCCTAATTCACACAGCAAGATTTTAAAATTGTTGGCCGATTTTCAAAGCATAAGAGACCCCGCACATGACAACAAACTAATCATAGATATAACAGGTTGGTTCTCTACTATTTAGTGTAAAGCCACAAACATTCAGATCTTGCACAAAATCTCTTGAGATCAGGCAATAGATCAGAATAAACAATCATGGCCGACGAGGAAGAAACAATAGTTTGTGGACTAAAAGAGAAAAAAACAATATAAAAATTTCTCTGACATCCACCGAACTTCCAGGTGTGCCATCGTAGTTGTTTTTTCTTCTGTATGTCGGATTCTCCTCTGTGTTTTTTTTTCTTCACTTGTTTAATTTCTTTCATTTAGTTCATATTTACCTTTTTATTTCTTAGTGTTAATTGATACTGCCTTACCTTTTTCATATGTAATTTAGATACCCTGTCTCCATCACTCACTGTAACACCATTATGCCCTTCAGATGCCACTTGATGCCACAGATATTAGTGTTGGACCTGTTGGAATTGAGACGCTTTTATCCAATAATGCACAAATTAAATTATCCTGCCAGTTCCGCCATGATTCTTCTGTTCGTCGTCCTCTGGACACTGGAATCAGGAATATTGGCGTCTGCTCAGCTTGGCCGCTGTATTTTATGTGATGCGACAAACTGTGTGTGTTCTGATTCAGCAATTCACAAATTACAAGATATAGGTAGGATTACAGTATCCAGAATCATTTAGTCACCAAATAGTTGATTATTTGAATAATTGAACACTGTTAAAATGTTCGACAATTCTCGTTTGGGAAAGTTTTGAAGAAGAAAATGTTCTACATATTTGAAATAAATCATTAGGTGCTTATTAGCCACATTGCACAGCTATTTATTTGTATTCAAGTAACTCGTTTAAAAAAAGAATCTATCAGCTCCTGGTTTCTTTCCTGCTTGTACCAAAGTTTCCTCATTGTTTGATTTCATTTCATCGTCATTCCAAGAAGAACTGCATAGATCTGTGTGACGTGATGAGAACATTTTTAGAATGAAATAAACGTGTTTTCTCCAGCTATTTATTATAATTTTTAAAATCTTTATCTGTGTATACACTTATATACTTTATATATATACTTATATATACTTTATATATATACTTATATACTTTACATATATACTTATATACTTTACACTTTATACAAGTTAAATTGCAAATATTTACTGCATATTTACTGCAAATTTGAATAACTAGAGAGTCAGATAAACATGTATAAGGATATAGTACATGCTCACATCCCTGTTTTTATATAAAAGTGGCATTGCACATCGATGTAAACTTTTATCACCTTTTATGTTTTTCATTTTCTCAAATTAGGTTAAATTTTGGTCCAGTCCAAACACCAGCTAGTTTTTACTCTGAATATTTAGACGACCAAAAGGTTTAAGAAAGCTAAAAATGAAGAGGGGTTTTATTCTTTAGCCTAATGAGTCCAAGTATACATCCACATGTTCAGAAGAATCAATATATTTCCACACAATCGGATAAACATTGTGAGGAACATTGCAGAACATTACACACAATGCAAAATATTATTTGCACAGTAGATGGGCAAATATTTATAAGTTGATGTTATGTGTTGGTAGAGTTTTACCCAAGCAACCTTAATGCTTTTTAAAAAGTTTTTCAAGAAAGTTATACTCCAAAGCTTTCCATATTGTCAGAATTCATAATCTATAGATGAGTTCTGCTTGTTTTTCATGTGAGCATTTTCCAGTAGAAAGTTTTTAGTGGCTTTATCTGAAAGAAACTTGCAACAGATCTTAACAATAGTAAACTAACAGATGAAAGGAAAATAAAAAATAAAAAAATCAAAGCCCCAGAAATGTTTTCTGCCTGAAATATATTCTAAATAAAAGTGAATCGAAGAGCAGAAAAAAAAAAAAAAACTGGTTTTATTTTTGTCATAATTACATATTTTTTTGGTGTGAGAGAAATTGATTTCATTAAACATTTACTGTTTTTTTTTCTAAAGATAATCATTGATACAATAGTAGAGCAAGAAAAAATAAAATTGCAAGACACATATAATAACCTCTTTTGTCTTGTCCAGGTAAACGGAGGGGAGTTATTGTTCTGAGCAAAGTGATGGTTGTGTTAGATAGCTAAGTAAAACTGTTGGTCCACAAGGTCAGCTTGCTGTTTTTATGAGCTGTATTGGCTGGATGGTTGTTAGATGAGTCTACGTTAAAATGTCTGCTGTGATTCACATCCAGTCAACAGGAGGCAGGCTGTTCACTAAAAGCCACGTTAGTTACGCAACAAAAGGGCTTCGTTGAGCTTCACAATGATTCAGAGCAGTCAGAAAAGGAGCTTTTCTGTTGCATAACTAGCTGCTGACACCTCCGTGTCACTTTCAGCTTCACACACTCCAGCCCTTGATTTAGTAAAAACCCAAAAAACACTCCCCTCGTCTCCGGCTGTAAAATCTCCTTGGATTAGTTACGCCGAATGCTGCTATGAACTTCACGCTTTGTGGCTCCAGAGCAGTGGAGTCGGAGATGAAATACGCAATAGGTGGTCGAGAAAACAAGCAGGCGACATACAGACGGTGACAAAGACACTTATTTGCCAGTATGTTCAGAAGCTTATTTGGCGATTTGAGGAGATGCAGCAATGTGCCACTTTGCTTCTTATATTTTTGACCTTTGATTTGTGTGTGATCTCATTTTGGGGCCTGATTAGATGATAGCTGTATTAAGATTAAGGTAGACGTATATCGTCCTGATGTCTTTGTTGTTATGCTTTTCAGGCACGCTACAAACAGAGTCTGGACCCCACAGTGGACGAAGTGAAGAAACTTTGCACGTCACTGAGACGCAACGCCAAAGAGGAGAGAGTCCTCTTCCACTACAACGGCCATGGAGTTCCACGGCCCACCGTCAACGGGGAAATCTGGGTTTTTAACAAGGTAGAAAACACAAAAGACATCATAAGAATTCCTGGTTTTACCTTTAAAGTTTACACATATTGAGTCATTAAGTAAAAGTGTAATTTGTCAATAAGTATATGAAAGGGGAATAATCTGTTTTGTTTTTGTTTTTATGATTAGATAGAAAAAAGTAGAATTAAAGCAAAGTTTGCAGGACAAATACATTTTTTTTAAAACTTTTTGGATTAATTGAACATTTAACTGTATTCACAATAGAATTCTCTAAAGTTAAACTATGATGGGCTCAAAAACAGGACTGATTAACAGTTCTGACTTTGCATCATTGTAGACAATACAATAATAAGACAGCCACCACAAGGAGGTAAAGTCACAAAAGATCATTAAAAAAAAAAAAGAAAGCAGACTTTTCAGAGTGTTGTGTCTAAACATATTATGTGAAAGTTGAGTGGAAGGAAGAGGTGTGGATAAAAAAGGGCACAATCAGCAGGGATAGCTGCTGAGAGGATTGTGAAGCACAAGTAGAGCCCATCCAGTATGAGGGAGATTCACAAGGTGTGGAGTCCAGATGAAGTCAGAGCTTCAAGATCCTCTGCACTCAGACGTATTTAGGACATGAGTTCAACCACTCCTGAACAGTGGACATCAGAAGTATCTAATCAGGACTAAGGACAAAAAGGACCAGTTACCATTTTCTTTAAAGGTAGAATTACATTTAGTTTTTCATTTGATAATCAAGGTCCCAGTATCTGGAGGAAGAGTGGAGAGACACAAGATCAATGTTGCTTGAAATCCAGTGGATTTTAAAGTCAGTGCTGACTCTGGAAGCATCTGCTGGTGTTCATCCAAATGTTTTATTGCATCCAAAATCAAGCTTCATGTAGATGCTGATTTCATCCTCTAGCAAGACCTCATACTTACTCACACTGCTAAAGGACCTGATAAAGTCTGTAGCAAACATGTTATACCAGCTTGATTGGCCATCAAACTCCATGACCTGAACCCGAAGAGCCTGTGGAATATTTTCTAGGGGAAGACGAGACGCACCAGAGGCAACAATGCAGAGGGGCCCTTAAAGAAGCTTGGGATTTCTTAACACCCAAGCAGAACCACAGATTGAGCCCCTGAAATAAATTAACTTCTTGCCAGAATTGAAGTTTATGGAAATGAATCTGTTTATTTTACATCTTTATCTTTTTCCTCTGAAGCGCTGCAGTGCTCCCAGTTGCACCTAAACATCAACTGGTCGTGTATAAAGTTAAACTGTGAAAACACAAAATCTTACCAAGTGCTTTTGGTCTAGTTTCTAGTGCAAATATCTTAGTACCCTTGAAATTGGACTAAACTAACCTATTAGTAGCTTTTCAGCAAGATATAGGAGCTTGTTTTAAGTAAATAATTACTAATTCCACTGGCAAGTGAAATAATCTGCCAGTGGGATTAGCACATTTCCATCAATATTGAAGAATTATTGATTTAATACAAGCTCATATATCTTGCTGAGAAGTTACTTGTAAGTTGTTTTATTTCTTATTTCAAGGGTATTGAGATATTTTGCACTAGAAACTACGTAGATCAAAAATACTTAGTAAGATTTTGTGTCTTTCCTGTGTACATTTCCAATATAATAAATGAACTTCCTCCGCTCTGCATGTTTGCATCACTTGCACGTTTTCAACCCTTTTTTCCCCACTTCTTTAATCAGCGGTTTCCATCAAGCAGATGCCTGGTGAATAATTGAACAATGTAGAAATCTATAAAAGTGACTTATCAGCAGCAACACGATGCACCAAATCTCACACCCCTCTCATCTCCCTCTGCTTTTCAGAATTACACACAATACATCCCGCTGTCCATCTACGACCTGCAGACGTGGATGGGGAGCCCGTCCATTTTCGTTTACGACTGCTCCAACGCGGGAATTATCGTCAAGTCGTTTAAGCAGTTCGCCCTGCAGAGAGAACAGGAGCTGGAGGTGAGGGAGCTTCTGCAAAACCATTCATGGTTTACGACATGTTGCTGCACAGGAGCAATGAAATACAAGCTGGGATTTAACAGGAGAGGACGACATTCTAAAATATGAGACGAGTCTTTCAAACACAGAGTTAGCGAGCAGTCAGATAGAACGAGATGAAGTGTTGGAGTTATTAGAAATGGGCAGCGTTACTACTGAGCACACAGGACCTGTACAGAAGTTGAGGAAGTCAAACCAAAATGGTGTCGAGTTATGATTCTCAGCTGGATCTGAAGGACTTGGTTTGTTCCCTTTATCCATAAATACAAACTTTCCACACAGTGTGGGAATGTCTGGATTTTAATTTTAGTTTTCAAGATTTGAATACATTTTTTTATATTATCAGATGTTTGCTTTCTTTCCCATAGACTAAATGCTATTTCAATCTTGTGTCTCATTTTTCTCTCCCTGTCTTTCTGTCCTTAATTTCTTTCTTCTTCCTTTCCTCTGTCCTATCTTCCTCTATCATGTCCTTTTCCCCCTTTCCTTCTATCTTTCCTCATGTCCGTTCTTCTTTTCTTCCTACGTGTCCTTCCTTTACCTCTCATGTCCTGTAATGCTTCTTTTCTTCCTTGTGAATTTCCTCTTCCCCTCATTACTTTTCCTTTTTCTTCTGTCCTACTGTTTATCCTTTATATCCTTTCTTTATTTTCTTTCATTTTTTCTTCCTCCTTCCTGTCCTCCATCTCTTTTCCTTGTGTATTTTATGCTTTCCTTCCTTTTTATTTGTGTCCTGCCTTCCTTCTTTACTTTTTGTCCTTCTTTCATTGTGTCCTTTTGTTTGTTCCTTTTCTCATGTCATTAATTCTCTTGATTCTTCCTTTTATTCCATCTTTCTTATTTATTTCCATCCTCTCTTCCTTCTAATTTCACTAATTTCATACTTCCTTTTGCTGTTTTTCTTCCTTGTTATTCCTCCTATCCACTTGTCCTTCATTTTGTCCTACTTCTCTTCTATCTGTCCTTCCTCTCCTTCCTCCTGCCCTTTCATAAGTGTATCATCCTTCCTTTCTTCCTGGTGTGCTTCCTTCTTTCCTAGCGTCGTTTCTCCATTGTTATCCTGCTCTTGCTCCATCCATCCATCCAGAACGCCTGACTCCTGGGAAATTTCAGTCTCAAAGTATGAATTTTTTACATGACGAATATGTAGGAACTCTTCAAGCAATCCATCACTGCTTCAGTCTTTTCAACACTTCACCTTTTTTATTATGTTGTCTCATCTTTTCTCCTCTGGCTGAAACTAGCAATGTGAATGCCTGATGAGATGGCGCTGTCATTTATTTTAATTATTCATAAAGAAGTTTTTGCCAAACTGTAGATTAACGGAAAAAAAAAAAAAAAAAAACGTCAGTGAGGAAATAGGAGGATGTACAGTGTGGAGCTGGAAGTTGGCAAAGAGGAGCCACGGTGAATGATGCACTCCCTTTTAAAAAGTAAAGGTGAAAGCAGCAGATAAACTGCTGAGTCGCTGCAATGCCTGTGTTTGCCCTCAGATTAACCCGCTGTGTTCTGAGAGTTTCATGAGGTCATAGGAGGATTGTGGGTAAACATGCTTTAAAAACCTTTTCCTCCACTAAATTAGCACTTTGATTCCCTCAAAAGGTGTTTTCTTTTGAGGGAAAACACCTTTTCCCTCAAAACTGAGAGAACTCCTAAAAAAAAAAAAAAAAAAAACGCCTGCAGGAACAGAGTGAAGTTGTAGCCCTGGGAGGGAGGACAAATGTCGACGTTCTTGCTTGATGTGTACATGCTTTTAATTTTTTCCTACATGTCCTCTTACATACAGAAATGAAGATTTTGATCATTCTTCTCTACACAACACCTGTAGATCAGTAGGTTTCAATCCCGGTCCTCTGAGCCTCTGCTCCAGTACACATGATTTAAATTACTATGTGACGTTCTCAGTATGTAAACAAGTCATCCAGAAGCTTGTTAATCACACATTGATCAGGTTGGGTGTGTGGCAGCAGGGAAACGTCAAAACACAACAGTAAAAGCGTGAACAACAGTAGATCCTCTGGGTCACAAAGTGAAAGATTTTCTCTTTCACTGCCATCTTGATTTGTGTTCACACATCAGATTTTAGAGCTCAGCAAACCTTATTGTCAATCTGTTCCTTAATGCCTCTGCTTTTCACAATATGAGGACTTCATGTTTAATTACACCAATATGTACGCTTTTATTGTTCAGTTGTGATTTAGCTGTGTTTTACAAATGTTACTACTTACATGTAAAATGAGTCTAAAAGGGAAATTAAATAGGCTTTGTACCTACTCAGAAAAGACTGGGCGCCTTTTCTAATAGCCAGTAGGAAAATAAAACTCTGACTGCTATTGAAAGTTTATTTATGAGAGCGCTCCTCTTTTACACTGCGGTGCTGTTTTTGTCAAATTGATTCCATAAAGCCTGGGATGGAACAAGGCAGCAAATGTTTGATTGATCATTTTTACACTTCCATTTACCTTAAGGAGATTTCCTGCGTCGTTGCATAATAAGTTTTCAGTCCCAAAGCTTTCAGATTCAGCCGTTGGATTTATGCAGGAAGTAAGCTCAAGGAGTAATTTAGTTGGATGCATGGGAAGTTGCATAATATCCATACGCAATATCACTTTTCCTCTTTGGTACCTGCACTTTCCACTCTCTTTAACAGGAAGTATGTAATAGGGTGATGTAATGGAAGATTAGCATAAAGGTGGTGACTTCCAAATAGCTCCCAATCTTTCAGGAGAGGATCAACAGAGCCTCGTGAAAGTATCCATGCCTCTTCTGAATACTTACTTTGGTACAGAAAATGAAATCCAGTGTAAGCTGTCAGAAGTCACTAAGCTATGGAAGAATCAATCTGTGAGTAATTTATTTGTAAATTACTGCTAGTCTATGAAGGCCACAGCGTCACAAAGGTCAAAAGCCATAGCAGACAGGTCAGGGGTTAATTTGGGGAGAATTTTTAGAAGCACTGTTCATCTGTGAAAGAAAAAGAAAGTCATTATCTAAAAAAAAGCTTAAATTTATAAATCGATTCGCAGTTTGTCACAGGGGATTGGTCTGACATGCAGAGTGTAATGTCTAGTGGAAGATTAACACCACACATCAGTCTAAATACCTCTCCACAGTGAGTCGTGGTGGCGGCAGCATCATGCTACTGGCATGCTTTTCTTCAGCAGGAACAGGGAAGCTGGTCAGAGATGATAGGAACGCAGAAAAGACAAATGGAGAACAATTCTGGAAGAAAATACGTCATAGGAGCTGCAAAAAACATGGAGTACAATTCCCCATAACTTTGATTGAAATTCTTCTTTTTTCCCCTGATCTATTGTACAGAAATGGACAAAAACAGATTGAACCTTGCAGCTCTTTTGTCCCAGTTTCTAAAAAGTTCAAGAAGTGCGTTGCTGTAAGGGGGGATTGTCCTCCTCAACATGCACAGATAGTCTCTGTGTTGCAACACATTCGTTCTGCACATCACTGGTCCCAAGCAGAGTCATCCAACCACACAGCACCGAGAAACGGACCGCCTCTCAGCTCTCGCCCAGAACGACAAGCTTGACTTCACCAGGGACCGTTTTACTCGAAAACGCTGTGATGCAGATCAAGTGCTGGGTGAGATTAGGGAGGCATGACAGAGGGAGGGGTGTGTTTTATCACCTCCTCCCATTTCTGTATTATGGACCTCATGTGGACCATGCAGTTCATCTGTGTGTGTGTAAGAGATGTGTACTGAGTGCACAGCCATAGGGCCACCTGCTTCCTTTTAAAAATCTCATCACTTCCTGTGAGCACTCAGTGAACATGCTTGTTGCATTAGCAGGGAGTAAAGTGTGTGTGATGTTGATAAGGAATCACTGCAGCTCTTACAGCTACTGCTCTCTGGGTGTACTCATGTTTGTGTGTGTGTTGTGGTTTTGCTGTTTCCAGTACGCTAACATTAAACCTTCTCCTCCCGCCCCCTCATGTAATATTGCAATAAATAATGCATGCATAGCTCTTAAACCGTAGTTCTCAATTAGCGTTTCACATGGCAGCTCTCTTCTGCTGAGAACATCTGAAATCCTCTTCCTGTGAAGAATTAGTTTTGTAATTTAACGTTGCATTTATGGGGGGAAAAAAGAGGAGTCTTCAACAGTTATATCCTGCCGTATTGTCCCCAGTAAAAGCAAAAAAAAAAAAAAAAAAAAAGGCTGTCATTATGATTTTCATGGTAATTTCCCAGATTACAATATGCTAATGTGATAATTACAGTGGATGCTTGGCATTAATCAGCTTGTGCCGGCGGTGCTGTTGTGTTTACCGTCAGGATTATCATGGCTGGCAGCGACACGCTTTCTTTCACCAGATGATGTTCTTAGGCTAACGCACCGAGAGGCATTAGACGCACGCACTACTTTCTGATTTATTTCTCCGCAAGCAGGATCTCCTAATTAGCCGAAGGAGGAATTATGTCATAACAAGATTGGCGGAAATCCATCTGAGCGGCACCAATTGTACGCGCCCGCAAAGCGCTTCAAAGGGGAGAGAGAAATGTGTTTGATTCAACAGGAAGGAAGACAGTGGCACACCTTGCCACCGCTCTTATTAGTTGAGACAATTTTTCTTTTTAATATCATTATTTATTCATGTGTGCAGAGCCACTGTTAGAGCTATGTGTTAAATACATAAAGTAATGAGATCTGGGCTTCACCCTCCTTTTTTGGCCCTCTATTACGGAGCCTATTAATGAGTTATTGGACTTGTAAAGAGCAGCATATACAACAATAAAGTGTTCCTATATAAATCTATGCAGCTCCATTACAAGGATATCTTTAAAGTTTAATAAGCTCTACTGGAAGCTGCAGTTGAACGAGCAAAATGAAATAGTTTCCTCTTACGTTTATTGGTATCTGTGACAAAACCTCCGATTTTTTATGCTGTTGTTGTATTTCACCAAGAGTCTGTTGCTATTGGTTGTGCATCACAAATCACACTGCATGCTCTCTCCAGAGCAAATCTCCAGTGGTTTCACAGCACGAGGTGAAAGTAGGAATTTTTTAAGCTATAATGCATCCAGCTTTGACTGTTTCACAGCAGCTCTGCTCTAAGACACAGGTATAAACACTCTGTTTATACCTGTGCAGTAGTAGCACGTCTAGCTGAATGGGGCTGAAGCTTACTGTCAGTACCACTCTTCATAGGTGGTTTGCATGCATCCCCTGATCTAATGAGCCGGTTTTAACCTGTTCATACGGCTCAGGAGCAACGCTGAAAACTGAGGGCTGAAACAGCCTTCAGCCACTTTGACATTATGGATGTTTTTGGTCAGAAGGACACAGATTTTTATAGGTTTGACTGATTTGCAAGTGAAGATGTTCACAGTGAAACATCTTCATAGATTGGATGGGTGTGTGGCAGTGTGGAAGGAAAATTGTGACGTTACATTTAAATGCAGGTATTAGTCGATGCACTGTGGAGTCATTTATAATCCTGTATATAAATAAATAAGCAGACTAGAGTGTGGATGGTGTCTTCAGTCTTTTTAGTTGGAATGTAGTTCATTTTGTGTGGATGCTATAATTTCAGCATCAACTCTGATATTCAAGCTTCTTTCATTTTAATGACTGTTAACTTGGAGATGATGGACACACCATTCTGTTTTCCATTATTAAAACCTATATGTATATATATATATATATATATATATATATATATAAGCTTGCTGTCACATACACTTTTAAGATTTATTAGTGGATAAATAGACCCTGTTTTTTTTTTCTTACATAAATTGACAAAAACACTTTGCACTGTCACTTTTTCCAATTGATTAACCAAGCTCTTCCTCCTTGGCTCCCTGATTTTCCTAAAGTGTTTGCAGACACAGAGGAGTTTTAGCACTTTGCATCTCTGTTTCAAATATGTTGTACTTCAATTTAAAGAAATTCTCTTAAGTCTCTCTTTATCAACCGATTTTCTAATCTGAGATGTTATATTACACATGAGAGCAGCCTAATGCATTTGGGGATGAAGACCCAGACGACTGAAATTTAAACCAGGTTTCAAAATAGAGGGGGGTTTTGTGATTTTTATTTTTATTTTTAATGTGTATTTTAGAAACTGATCTGCTGAGAATTTTAAACACAACAATTTCAAAAGTTTACATTGAAAATATCCTATGAGTGGCAGTAGAGTGGTTGAAATCAGAGATTAGAGGAGAAGAACAGGCTGCTTGAGATATACAGAATACAATCTCTAAACTCACAACATATGACATTTTTATTGGTTCTTAATAGTGAGGATTCTAATAATGATGTAGTTAATTTTAATTAATTGCATTATTAATTGTTTTTCACTTAATCAACCATCATTTGTGTTTAATTGTCCAATGCCTCTAATTGTAGTCATAAGTTGTTTTATTTTCCTGTCAAAATTGCTTTTTCATCCCCCAGCAGTTAATTATATTTTTGGTAGGAAGAATAGCATCTCTAATGGTTGATTTCTCACCAGAATAAAGACTCACAATGAAAAAAAAAAAAAAAAAAAAAAAGCATGCCATCACAGTCAGGATGATAAGAGAAGGTTTGGCTTTCCGCCTCTGTTTAAGTTCCAGCGCTCATTAAAGTCTAGTCAGCTCTACAAACAAACTATGTAGAAGTCCCATCATCAAACTTACCAGGAGTCCTTCAGTAAAATCAGCCTATAAATAGTCAGGAGCTCCAAATACAATTAAAGTTTTACATTATGGGCACGCCTCCTCCAAATCTCACATTTGCAAGTATTGACTTCCCCGACCCGGGATGTAGAAATAGCTCCGTAAGTTGGCTCCCAGAATAAACAGGACTATTGTTTTCCATTCACAGACCGCCTGTAGAGGGGCAGACAAAACTTCACCCGTTTCCCTAAACACTTTTTTTTTTCTCTCTCACAGGAATCTGTTGCCAAGTTTTTTGCCTGGTGGAAAACGGTGCTATATAATTTATGCAACAGGATATTCAGCTCGCCTTTTGTGCAGCAATGGGAAAAAAAAAAAAAAAAGGAATCAACTTTTATTGCTTAACAAATACTCCTAAGACAGCAAATGTTTTTGGCTTTAATGAGATGCTTTTCCTTTTGCCATCCTCTTGTTTTTCAGTCTAAATGCATCATCACTGTAACACAGCTTAGAAACATTAAAAGCAACTCTTCAGTCTGCAGGGACTGTGTTGAATAATCAATGCTGCAAGTCTTTGTTTGAATGGGTTTTGCTTATTGATACATTTCTGCTCCGATGATCATCCGGTCATGAGAACTGTTGTTCTCATGATTTTATCAGCAGCAAGTTGATGGCGAGTCTCACGAGAGCAAACAGCTTGCAAGAAAGACACCGGAGCAGACTAATGTAGGTGGTGACTAGGTGCTAAAGGCATCACCTGTTGCACATTTGTGCTCATCACTCCACATAAACTGTCTTGTTTGCTTCAGAGATTAGATTTTTCTTTTCCTCTAAGTTTCAGTAATTCAGCTCTCACTTTGCATCTTTTATATGTTTTTCCAGCTAATTGTGTCTGCAACACACAACTTATCATGAGTTTACAGATTGATGCACCCAGGCTTTCTGGGCAGTCTGATAACTTATGGAAAGGTCTGTATTTTCCAGGCTTCATGGATAAGTGTGGAAAGAAGAAAACATATTGCAGAAATGTTTTAATTTTCACACTTCAGAATTCCCTTTGATGTTGTTTAAAAGTTGTATCCAGGGGGTTACTTACATTTTTATCTCTATATTTTCTACTATTGTTGTGATAATGATAAAAGTGATGATAAGAACTACTTATTTCTTCTTCTAGCTAACTGTATGAGTATTGTTAATCACATATGTGTATTTATAACCTGGAGGGCAGGTCTGTCTGTCAGTCCTCTCACAGCAAAGCATGAAAGGACAGTGGCTGATTTTCAGATCTTTCTGGAAGTAGATACGGTGGATAACATTGTTTCTTCATGTAATCACAGGGCCGATTTATCGGTGTACCTTTGTGTGGACTATATCTGCACTCATTCATTTTTTGTTTTCGGCCTAAAATGTGTTTTGTCATTTTCAGTCAGTGATTTTACACTAATGCGGTACGTCTGCCTCACCCCCCGCCATTCCATCACAACCAGCATCAGAGAACCAAAGTGTAATATTGAAAGCAATGCTCACTCTGACAGATGAGAGCAAGATTCATTTTAAATAAATCGGTGTCGGTTTAGCAGCTTCTTTCCCTCTCTGTTGTTTATTTCCTGAGAGAGCTGGTCAGGTGGTGGAGGAGCTTCAATAAAACGCTGCTTTGGAGCTCAAAACCAGACTCCCCGTCGAGATCGATTACCTGATGTATTTGCAAATGTGGAACCTGCTCTGGATGGATATACACAAACGCCCACCTGCTAGTCAAAAATAAATCTCCAAACAGCTTTTGACCTGTTGTATGTCTGTTCAGGTTGCGGCCATCAATCCCAGCCACCCACTCGCACAGATGCCGCTTCCGCCCTCCATGAAGAACTGCATCCAACTGGCTGCGTGCGAGGCAAACGAGCTGCTGCCCATGAACCCGGACCTCCCTGCTGACCTGTTCACCTCCTGCCTCACCACACCCATCAAAATCGCACTTCGATGGTAATGACTCACACTTTTCTGTCTCTTCTGTCAGGCAGATCTTTCCCTCAGAATGATGAGTTTTGTTTAAAAGGGGTTTCTTTAACGATCCTCTGGTCACTCTTTATTTTAATTCTTCCGTATCATTTTTATTTACTTCATCTGTTAACGAGACGCGTTGTGTTCCCGAGAATTGTGCAAAACGGCAAACTTTTTTCTTTCCACTTTGACCGTGCCGGGGATGTTTTATTTATTCAGTTTTATTTTTATGTTTGCCAATCACTGCCTCGGCTCGCTGTCATGCATGCTGTGCACAGAGCAGCCATTCCTCCGAGCTGCTGCTGCTCAGTATTCAGCTGATGAGGAATATTCAGCTGTGATGAAAAATGTAGACCGACACCATCTGCAGTGATGCAGGGGTGATCATTCCCACAGAGAAAGCTTCAACAAAAAAAAACAAAAAAAAGAAAATGGAATAGGTGGAAGATATTCAGGCTTGGCTGATACAGTGGCCTGATGTAAATGCACTACGATGCATCATTCAAAAGACTGTAATGATGGAAGTTTGAGCTGAAGCTCCGGAGAGCACAGGTTGCATCACACACACATCAGCTGTGAATGTGTGGTTTACATCAGCTAATAGCAGCACGCAAACCCAGGCTTTGAATACAGTAGTAAATGATAAATTATTTATGTTTAAAATCATTCTTTTTTTTTTTTTTTCTTGATGTTGGCTCACAGTTGTCATACAAACCTAACAGCTTGCTGTACAAATGTTCCGTAAAAGCATCTATATCATGTTTTCACAGGCAATTATATGGCGTCATCTCATTTTGCTGCATTTATGAGCACATTTTAACAGCATTGTAATATCTGCCAGACGCAGCGAGTTACTTTCATGGATTTTGAAAGTCTTTCATCAGCTGATGCCAGCCTGGGTAAATTCATTGCAATAGTCTGGTGTTTTTTTTGCCCCTTTCTTTCTATCAATCCGAGTACAGGGTTCCTATGCAGCGTGGAAAAGCTTGGTGTTTTAGGCATTAGCAGGTCTCCCCCATAACATGCTGTCTGATGTGTTGCACACATCAGCTGAGGTTAACTTCATCTCCGTCAAAAACTGAAAAACACCCGATCAAAGCACATCCAGCCAAAACTGATAAAGAGAAGACGATGTGAAGAGGTGCACAGCCACGCTCAAACAAATAATTGTTCTGATTAATATTAACATTTGACTTTTCGTTGTCTCCTGACGGAGCGTCGTGTCTTATGTGACTTGAGCGATGAGAATAGGAGTAAGCTGAAGCGTTCCCCTCCCCCATGTGCCTGGGCTCAGTCATTACTCACTGGGTTTAAGAGATTTCCACTCTCATGAAAACTGTAAAAAGCAGGTGATCGGCTCATCATTAATGCACCTCACTGCCTGCCCAGATACAGTCTCTATCTGCTGCATTCAAAGCCCCTTTGGTGCCATAAATCAGTACTTCCCCGGACCTTTTTTTTTTTTTTTTTGCATTTTAATGACTGATTTCACTTTGTCGACACTGAAAGTCGCAGGGACTATTTAACAAATTTTCGCTTTAAATTTCAAACTTTTTGAAAAGCATGTAAGTGGGAATGACGTGTTGCCTTCAGGGGGTGTCATACAGCTAGACAAATATTTCTGCTCTGCCACAAATGTTCAGGAGTTTTGTTCATCTTCCTCTGCTCTAAATCCACCTCCTGCCATGACCTTCAGCATAATGAGGTCTCACTTCTGTGCCATTAATATTGATCAGTTGCCAGCGTTCACTTTCATGAAACTGGTCGCTGAGAGGCTGTTGGGTGTTACTGGCTGAATTAATCCTTAAAAAAGATTAATATTACGGTGCTCGTGGCAAATCTGGGCCTGAGCCCGTCTATCAAAGACCCTGTCGAGGTCAGGTTTGTGTTTCTTTTCAAGCCTCTGGTTTGGCATCAGGGAACACTTTCAGTTGACTTCAAACTGAAGTGTTAATAGTGATGTATATATTCAATGTATGTGAAACGTCCTCCTTAAGCTTAGTTTAGTCTATAAGTATAAAATAAGTTAATTTACTTTAAATTAGTCTTATAAGTCTTCGAAACTTCTAAATATGTATTTACTGATGATTGATGTACTCAGATTTATTCTAGATTTCTTTTTATATACAAGAAATGAGAGCTGCTACAATTATTTTAGTCATAATAATCTCTTGACATTAACAATTTTTTAAGACTGTTGTATTGAAAAAATATGGTTAATGAAAAGTGAGCGATGGGGATGTTAATGACCCACGAATTTACTTCAGATTTGCAAAACTAAAACAAAAGTGTCTGAACAGCCAATAAAGCCTGGTATGTTAATCAGCTGTGAGGCTCCCCTTCACCCGAAATGGCTCAGATTTACTATGTAAACAAGATGAAATCAAACACAAAGCTTACCAGTTTGAAACCCTAGGAACAGTTATTTAAAGCATTGGATGGTTTCTTCATGATTTCAGCCAGTGTATTTTTACTATCACTATTTTCTCAGGAACTGCTGTTTTTGTTGTTGTTGTTGTTGTTTTTTCCTCCATTTCTCCTCTACTGACTTATTCTGAGAATTTTATGATTTTTCTGTTGGTGCACTCATTTTCGTTTTCTGGCTGATCGCTGAACTTTAAAAAAATTGACCTATCGATTCCGATTTTGGCCGATACTGATATTATTGTCTGAAACGGTGCTAAATATAGCAAGAAAGTTGCTGAATTGCCCACCGTGTGAACATGACCTGATGGCTGGGTCTATCAGTCATCCTTCTCTCATAGCAGATCAGTAGAGCACAGTGGCCGATTTTTAGACCTTTGCAGAGGTAGATAAGATCTGCTTCACATTTAAGTATCAACCGGTCACAGATTTCCTAAAATTAAGGAAATCTGGGCCGATTGATCAGTTCACCCCTAGAATTTCCTTTTTCCTGAACTTTTTAACAAGACACTGAGCCAGTTTATGAGAGATTTTCAGTGTTTTTAAAGTCTGGATCTGTCTAAAGTATTTACTTCATCCTCACTGAAATATTTAGGTGATGATAAACTGGAGATTTGGATACGCTGTGAGATTTCCTAGGAATCAGCAGCAACAAGCATGAAAAGCAGACAGACATGACACAGAGTTAAGATAAAGTGTTTTAGTTTCTTATTGGCTTTTGAATGCAATCATTCTTTGTGTAGAATAATAATTTATTTAAATGTTTAGAGAAATGGTGTGCCTGTTTTTGTCTCGGTTTAATTTAATTTCATTGTAGATGTGTAGATGTTGTTCAAAACAAGACGAATGTAATTTAAACCAGACAAACTATTAAACAATACATACAATTAAACCATAATTGAAAATATTTGTAAGTAGTGTGGAAATGTTTCTAGTAGAGTCTTATGAAATGTATTTTTTTAAATACATAGTTAATTCTACTTAAAGCTATATGTTCAAATCATTGCTCTCGTTGGCTCTCACTTGCTAAAATGTGTTGTATAACACAGAAGTAAAATGTAATAAAGCTGCATTTTTAATGATTAAAAAAAATATTCAAACAATTTGTGGTTAAATTAATGGGGACTAGGAGGGAAATGCGTCATTAGGAGGCAGCCCTTGAAGGAACACAAAATACATCATTCTCCTTGCAGCCAGAATGTTTGTTCTCAGTGAAATTATGGATGCATTTTTTATCATAAGTAATTTTCATAAAGTCTCGTGCTGCATTTCACATGAATTATTTGTAGTAATCAGCCTTCCCATGCTAAAACTGTAATCATTTAGAAAATACACATTTCTGGGGGATTGTAAATACATTTATTCTGCAGTATAAACAATATTATTTTGTGTTCCTAATCGAGATAAATATCCACAGTTAAGATGTTAAAGCATTTTAAAAAAAAAAAAGATTTCTTTGACACAAGATTGAGATTTTCTTCCTCTCCTTCACTTGCACTTTCTGTGCCCAAAGTAATGCAGACACGATGCATTTCCAGCCTTTAATTGTTGCCCCCTGTATGCTTCACAACACTTTTTCCCCTTGCCATTAATTTTATAATATTGTCTAAAACGTGAGATGAGAGGATTGAGAAGTGCGGCGAAAACAAGCAAGGAAGGGATGGGCTGCGGAAGTTTAGCGAGGTTGGAGTGGGAGGATGGAGGAACGCACTGATGTGCTGGCTTACCTTCACTTTAAAACTTTAATGAGATGCATTGAGGGATAGATGATGGGGGGTTTGCACAGAGAGGAGAGGTTGGGGAGAGAGCCAGGCAGGGAGGGTGCATGTGTACCTTTCATTGCTCAGCTGAGCAGAAAATCATTACTGATGGAGCGGCATCTTCAAGGGATTTCCCCGCCGCTGCAGCGAGTGAGGAGGAACGTGGGGAAAGATGTGTGCGTCTGAAAATAGAGATGGGAGAGCAAGGGTGCACAGGGGAGAAGGGAGAAAGAAGTACTGATGGGGGGGAATAAAAAAATCGGGGTGCAGATCAGCCATTCAGAGGAGGTTCTCAGGGGGCTGTCATCTTGAGGGTCCTGCTGGTCCGTCAACCAGTTTGGTTCAAAGTGAAATATCACCACCTCTGTCACACTGATTGCTTGGAAATGTCAGGTTCCTGATTCCACTTGACTTTCAGTGATCCCCACCTTATGTTTTCATCAGTCACCATCAGCTTTCAGAAACCTCTGGATTTTTTTTAAACTAAACAATCAATCATTGTGGGGTAAACAAATGCTGTAAGATTTTACAACTCAACACTTTAATATGGGACTCCTTTCTTAAAAAGTCACAGTCATGGATTTACCGAACACACATGAGTGACTTTTAGTTAAATTCAAAAACCCAGGAAGGTGCCGTATTATTTCAAGTTGTGACTCACACTTTTAGAGAAACCATCTCTTCACTGTGCTGCACACCATCATATCGACACCTAACCATGGACTGTAAATAATAGATGGACCAAGACAATGTCTCATCAACTGTCCACTAATTTAGTCCATCTTTTTCACTGCTAGA